AGAGTCAGCATGATGAAGGATGCTTTTTAGTATACATTAACGCACAACAAGTAGCTGTATTTCCAAAAGCTATCGTTAATACGTGGCAATCGCTACTAATACAAGCGAAAGAAAAAATGGGCAAACTCGATGGAAAGATTGCTCTCATCACGGGTGGTTCTGAGGGTATTGGTTTGGCTACGGCTCAGCGATTCCTCGCTGAAGGTGCAGCGCATGTCTTCATTACTGGACGACGCAAAGAAGCCCTTGATAAAGCTGTGAAAACATTGGGTGGTAAAAATGTAACCGGAGTACAAGGTGACACATCCAATCTGGCTGATCTCGACAAGTTATACAGCTTGATTCAGAAGGAGAAGGGTCATCTGGACATTCTTTTTGCCAATGCAGGTGTAGGATCAGTCACACCGCTCGGCTCGATCACTGAAAAACATTTTGACGACACTTTCAACGTTAATGTGAGAGGAGTACTCTTCACCGTCCAAAAGGCTTTGCCAATATTCACCAATGGTGGATCGATCATTCTCAATGGATCTATCGCATCCGTCAAAGGGACGCCTGGTATGAGCGTCTACTGTGCTACGAAGGCAGCCATTCGCTCTTTTGCGCGCTGCTGGACGGTGGACCTAAAAGAGCGCAAAATCCGGGTCAATACTGTGAGTCCAGGACCAATCGACACACCCGCATTCAGATCTCTAGGACGCAACGAAGAAGAACACAAAGCAATCGCCGCCAGCCTCATAGCTGGTACTGTAATGAATCGCATTGGCGAGTCTGATGAAGTTGCCAAAGCTGTCGTCTTTCTCGCTTCGGATGATAGCAGTTATGTGACGGGCATTGAACTTTTCGTCGATGGAGGAACAGCACAAATTTAAGTCAAGTGATTAGTGTATTTATATTTCTAATAAAATAATATATCCTATTCTAAGTGTGAGTTCAAAAGAGTCGTCTTGGGGAAAGTAAAAAGACATTACTCACAAAACGAAAACAGACTTGTATTTTTGCCACTAATTTGAAATGGGGTTTCATCGTTACTATTGCCTTATGAATTTATTTGAATCCTATGAAATGAGTTTCTGTGACAGTAAATAAAATCTCGTTTGTACGATATACTAGCTAATGAAATGGGAAACGCACGCTTCAAAAATTCTTCATGAAAAGAGAGCAGATACTCATTCATATATATGATCACACTGCGCGTGCAGTATGAAATGTAAAGTAGAAAGAATGACATTTTCATGATTTTGTATTCAGCAATATACGGGAAATCGGGCTTTCTCGTCTTTGGAGTGGGTTTTTACGACCAAAGCCTGCTTTGAACCAAGTATTTTAGATTGTCTAGTAGAGCCCTTTAAGAGCAATTACTTATGAACGATTCATAATGCAAAATGACGTCAGGAGCAGCTTTGAACTGAATGGAAGCACGAAGTGCTGTCGATGAGAAATTAACGTTTTCTCTTTCCAAACACGAGTATGAAATGCAGTATGAAATGTAAAGTAGAAGGAATGACATTTTCGGCATTTGGTGTGCAGCAGTACAATTCATCTTGAGCTAGTTGGTGATAATTAAGTGTAGTTAGATTAAAAGTCTAAGGGATGATGAAAGGTGCGAATAATGAATGATTCAAGGATGCTATTAATAGCACAGCGGTTAAGCTGAGGGGGAGGGGTAGTTATTGGTCACTGCCCGACTGCGTTTTGGACTTTGCCGTTAGGTAGTGGCGTCACTCAGATTCACTACTCAGAAGTGTGTGTCTAGTTTCTTGTTTGTCCTTTCTATGTTCGATCATTTTATCATCGTTTTCTTACCCTCTCTTACTGGTATCGTTCCAGCCAAGGTCATAATTTTGGTAAAACCCAAAATTTAAAAACGCATAAGATTCAAATTTTTTGGCGTACACTTCTCTATCAACGCCTCATATGATCAATGTGGTTTCCTCGGACTTTATGTTTGTTATATTATGTAGATGTGCCCTTTCTGAGGACAAAACTTTGTACGAGTTAAGCCCAAGCAAAAAGTCATATATGAAAATATCTAGATATTTTTATTGTGATATTGGGCAACATCATGCTCAATACATCTACAGACGCATTGACATATGATTAAGGAAAAAAATTTCTTTCACGCTTACTAAGACCTTGGATATGATCGCCTAACTCACATTAACCTTTTCTCTCTAATAATAGCATCGGCAGTCGCTAAAACTGGTCATGATGTTCCTTTTATTTCAAGCTCAAGAAAAACATTGAAAAATATTAGTAGGACCCATTTGACGCATTGTTTTTATCGATAAAACTCGAGAATGTGGCATTCGCTATTCACGGACAATACAAATCTGTTAAAGCTCAAATTGATGAGGTTGCGTAAGGAATCGTCTCGAAATAAACGCGTGTTTTCTTTAAATATGCAAAATGTTGAGAAATACAGCACTCCCTAGTAAAAATCTTAGACACTTCTTAAAATGCTCTTATACGACCTTATCCTTTAAGATTTTGATAAGATAATGTACAATCTAACGACGAGATAAGGTGACAATGTTATTCAATTTTTAGTTTCTGGTTTGGAATTGGAATTTTCTATCATGTTTCTCATTGTATTATTTGTAAATTTAATTTATAAATCTTTTTTTCTTAAAAATTATTCAATACAAATATTTTTAACTTGGCAATATTTATTAGCATCCGTTGTTTGTCTACTAATGGCATTATCAGGATTATTTATGTTAAAAGCAATTAAACGTGAACATCCATCTATTTTTACAATTGTACAAAGTAGTGATATTGTAATTGCTATTGTATTACAAAATCTATTTACAGATATTAAATCAAATTGGTATGTATTATTAGGATCATTATTAGTTTTAACCAGTATTCTATTAGTGGGCGGTTATAAATTATATATCAATCGTCCACACGAATTAACGTCTAACATAGAGGATGTACCGACTGAGCAAGAATAAATTTGTATTTTGATTATTATCTTTTTTGCATAAAATGTGTCTTAACATTCTCTACTAATACCTTATTGGCTAATTTAACGAGTTATGCACGAGTTTTTCAATAAATGTTGATCACAATTTCTTCACATTTTCAATATTCCGGGAACTTCTCTTTTTCTTTTTGTTTGAAAGAGCAAAAAAGTCTAAAATACAAACGTGTATGAAATAAAAAAATTTCTCACAAAACTTCATTGAGAAAAAATTCAAAAATTAGACATCTCTAACGTTTAAACACTACGGAACAGTATCCCGAGTGTCAATATACTTGATAAATATTGAGGTAATCTGGTTCTTTTTCAGTGCAGGAAAAGTCATTATCACATTTTTCATGAATTTTATTAAACGTCTTAACGCTATATCACCCGTAGAGGTTCAAGCAGAGCTACTAATGATACGAAGGCCAATAGAACACAGCATTGGTCTCGTCAACATTCTAACTGTGTGGTCAGATCGATTGCATGTATTTTTCTTTGTTTTGGCCCCTTTAGTAACCATTGACGGACGAACTTCTACAAGAAGAATTTAACTTTTCTAAGAATGCTCACCAGTATTTTCCAATTAACTTTTGACAGAAATGAGATGTTAACCGGCGGTTATCAGCATGTGCTTTATTTGCTAAAAGAATGTTACTTACTCTAGTCAAATCAAATAGTGTCATTGTCTTCAGTGGTCGACAGAATCCAACAACATTTAAATATTTTTTCTACCCGACTTTCATTACATATAATTATTGTTATTAATCGAAAACAAAGTAAAATATATTTTTATCCATGTATCTTATGATAGATACTATAGATTTATTCGTATCGTGAAGAATACACGAGGTCTCTATCGCACAGTAACGGGTAGATTAAATCACACATCTAAAAACATATTTGCTAGTCTATAGTTTCTTATTATTTATTGAACGCGTTGCTATGCAATACAGATCTCGTCTATTCTTCACCATAAGTGTTAATATACAGTATCTGTAATAAGTGGTCGTCAGGTATAGAAAAAAAAACTTCAGTTGCGCTTTTTTGTAGGAAGGAAAAAATCTGGAAA